GCTGAGCTGCACAGTCCTTTGAGACGGGTCTCGGGCAGGAGCAGGCTGGCAGGACCCTGGGGGTCTCGCTGGGCTTTGTCCTGGTCCGTTTGTTCTTGGTGGCGTCTGTGTGTTTTGTGTGGGATGCGGGGATCGGCGGGGCTGTGGGGTGCGGCCGTGGAAGCCAGGCTACCCTGTCCTAGCCTGGGAGGCTTTGAGGGCTTTGCACCCCCAAAACACACGGCTGCCCTCTCCCCTCTGTACTGGGGAGTGCAGCCCTGTCAGGGACGTGGAGGAGAATCCTAGAGGATGCTTGTGTACCGTGCAGGTCCCTGCTGCCTTCCCGGGGGTGCTGTGTCTGAGGGGTGGCTGTGCCTGCTGTGCCAGGCTGGGCAGGGGGGACATGAACTGTCGGTACCAGAAACCCAAACTGGGGGCTTGGAGCAGGGCAGGGAGCAGCAGCAGCAACGCTGCCTGCTCGAGGGGGTTTGGGCTCGGTGTGATAGTGGGGCACCCGAGGGGAGCTGGGACCACCCTGTCTCCACTGCAGACCCCTGGCTCAGGGCACGAGGGGTCTGCGATGGCTGGGACCCCTTGGTGCCGGGTGAAGAAGGAGGAGGCTGGAGCCCTGGAGGGCCGGGAGCCATGGCCCTGTGCTGTGTTGCAGTGCCCGGCGCCTGGGAGGAGTGGTCCCCGTGGAGCCTGTGCTCGGTGACCTGCGGGCGAGGGGCCAGGACCAGGACGCGGCAGTGCGCGGCCGCGCGGCGCGGAGGGAAGGCCTGCGAGGGCCCCGAGCTGCAGGCCAAGCCCTGCAGCATGGCAGGCTGCCCGGGGCCGTACCTCCCTCCTTCCCCCCCTTGCTCCATCCTTCCCCTGGGAACACTAGGAAAAAGCACCAGCTGAAAGCCAGGGCTGTGCTCCCAGCACAGGGCGGTTGTGCTGCCAGGGATGGGTGATGCTGCCCTGGGCACCAGGACAGCCCACGGGTGCTGTGACATCCGTGCACCCTCCTGTCCCCATTGGAAACCCAGCTGGAAAGGCAGCTCCGTCAGCCCCGCTGGGCCCACCAGGGGCAATAGGGACCAGCCCGGGGACCACGGAGGAGCTGGCTCCATCCATCCCCCTCTGCTGTCATGGGCCTCCGTGCTGGCACCGGGGTGGTGCGGGGACATCGTGGGGCACCGAGGAGGTGGCTGGAGGTGGTGAAGGGGGTTGGCTGTGGTGTCTGTGTGCGCAGGTGGCAGCGCCACCTCTGTCCCTCCCTCCTGCCGTGGTGGCAGGCGTTGGGTTTCTGTGGTGATGGCCGGGGATGCCGTGTCAGGGCTGGCAAACCCCTGCGTGGTGTGTGGCAGGGCCAGGGGCAGGCTGGGAACAGGAGGGAGAGTGGGAGCTCAGCGGCAGCTCCGGCTGGGATGTGCCATCCGTAGTGTGAGGCTTTTCCTGGGGCTGTCCCATGGAGATACTGCTGCAGAGCTGACAGGTCATGGCAGCTCCTTCCTCACCTGCCCTGGTCCATACAGTGGGGGTTCCACAGGTAGGGAGTGATGCCAGGGCCGGTGGGTTTGGTGTGGAGAGATGCCAGGGCCGGTGGGTTTGGTGTGGAGAGATGCCAGGGCCGGTGGGTTTGGTGTGGAGAGATGCCAGGGCCGGTGGGTTTGGTGTGGAGAGATGCCAGGGCCGGTGGGTTTGGTGTGGAGCAGTGCTGGTGGCTCACGGGGGGTCCCACAAGTGTGCCCACAGGGCAGGCTGGGCGTTGTGGTGCAGCAGGGCGGTAGGAGCAGCCGCTTGGGGTGTAGGGACCAGTCCTGGTGACAGTCCC